TTTGTATCGGTCTGGGTCGAATTCCAATTTCTCACTGTGCGGCGCGAATATACTATTCCGTCAAACGACAAGAATGTCGTCAGCATCATTAAAAGAAATAAGATCGACCACAAGCACTGGGCCTTTCAGCTCTTTGCCAGAAAGCTCACCAGCCGGTTGTAGGGCCCGCTGGGCGGCGGCTCCGTGCCGAGCTTGAAGCACTTGACGGTGAGCAGCAGCTTGGCCACCGCCTCGCGGTCTATCCTCGCCGCCACCAGCACCAGCGCCGCGCTCTCGTTGGTTCGCTTCAGCCGCACCAGCCCCAGCTCGTTGCCCTCTGATCACCACGCAACAGTTGTAGTCGGAGAGACACATCGACAAACAGAACATCTACATTGTGTTATACTATTGTTAGAAATAAGTAGAACTTCGAATGGCAACACCACAACGGGCTATAAAACGAGCAGCGCTCACCGTGTTCGCACAGTCTGTCGTCAGCTTTTGTTGCGTGAATAGAAAGCTTGGCAATTTGCTTATCCTCTATAATTAAATCACTTTGTAATCTTATTAAAATTCGACATGGAAGTCGATTTTATTGTATTGTTCACTACTATAACAATGATGTATGGAATTGACTACTAATTTCTGCCAATTAGTGAAAAAATAATAACTTATATCAGGTATAAGCTGTTGTAAAAACATTAGAAGGGATAGTCGCACCAGTGATCGCGTAGTCTATGGCCGCGTTCTCTCCGATGTCCTCGTCTATGGCCTCGAGTTTGCCGATGACAGTTCCAATGGGCACTTCCTCTTCAATCATCATCACAATTGGCGGGTCGTCCTTTAGATTCATAAAAATATTTTCATCATATTAGCAAATTCAATATAACTAGATAACCTTTTTTTTTAAATAGTGAGATATTTTTTTTGTAGCCTAAAACCGGTTATTAGGTGATACGTAAGCGCAAAGGCAGTTTTTTGTTTATTTTGAAGGATCACCTACAAAATATTATTAAAGCCAAAATGTGGTGTACTAATAATCACGGCCATTCAATTATAGGAAAACATAACATTCCTTATTAATTTTACTTGATTACTAATACTATTAAAAGCATTGTAGAAACGCATATAAGAGTGTGTAAATCTAAAAGTTATTTTACATAGTGTGTATAAGAGGGGTATGTTTTTTTTAACAAATAATATCTTCATATAGAACACAACAGAAACCCTGTGTGGAGCGTATGTTTGCGTTATGTTGAGATCGTTTCAAAGTGATGTGCCAATGTAATAAAGTGGTCACCAGCGCCCTGGCGAAGCGCGGCTTGTGGTCGTCCACGTCGTCGACGGTGACGGCCAGCACCCGGCGCGCCTGCTGCGGCGGAGCGCCCTGGTCGCTGGCCACCACCACCAGCGTGTAGGCCGCCTGCCGCTCCCGGTCCAACGGCTGTCGGGTGCGCAGCACGCCGCTCGAAGGGTCTGCCACAGTACATTCCTCTTACCCACCGGCAATCCGCACTGGGGCCGTGGTGGACTACGTCCTATGCCCAACATTGGGACATGTATAGGCTGATACTTTTACTTTGCTCACTGATCATAATTGGGATTCGATGACGGGACGACTATTCGAGAGCCTCAAAGCTAATTGTTTTGGTTCTGGTCGGCTCGTAAATGCCCAGAGGGCTTCTACAAGCATTTTATGTTCGCTAATGGCTTGGAACCGCTCGGTGCCAGATGTGGCGGCCGCTATTTTAGTGGACAATACGGCGAGCTCGCTTTCGTGGATCTTCAAACAATCTTCACGTGAAATTTATGAATGTAAAATGTCCTAACACAGTATAATGTTATGCTACGTAAGGCGTGCAATATTTCCGATGTCAAGACTACAATATAGCTTCTAGGTCGTATTGGTGGTGGGGAACCCAGCCCCTTCCGCACAAAATACAGACACAAACTGAAGGATTGTTATCATAATCTATCACGCAAACAAACTCAAAGAAACAATCTCAACACTATACGTAACTATTTATAAAAATGTTCCAAATAAATTAGTTAATAGAAATTAAATACCTAGAAATGAGAAAAATGATAATATAAAGTAGACTAAAAGGTAAATGATAAGTTTTGCAGAAAAATTAGACATCCAAACACTTCTGGCAATAAAGACGTTCATTAGTTAGATGTTACGGATAAATCGTAAGGGAGTAGTCAATGACACGAACTTCGGACAATATTTGGTTTGACCCCATTTATTTTACAACATCTATAGATACGAAATTATATTAGCACACACATTGGGACATCAAGATGCTGTCTGCTGTTAGTCTGTCCCGTGACAGCAGCCAAGTAGATTGTGATAACAATCCTTCAGTTTGTGTCTGTATTTTGTGCGGAAGGGGCTGGGTTCCCCACCACCACTGCGACCTAGAAGCTATATTGTTGTCTTCACATCGGAAATATTGCACCCCTTACGTAGCATAACATTATACTGTGTTAAGGACGTTTTACATTCACAAATTTCACGTGAAGATAAAAAATTTAGAGCAAGTTCAACGCCATTAATTCTATACAATCAAAAGAAACTGTGTGAAAATTATAAGACACCTAATAATATGAATGTTATTATAATATTATTGTAAATTAAGGCTATCTTTTAATTCATTGGTAACTTACTTACAAACTTATGTATCAATTATTAATGTAAACTGCTGCGCGTCTATTTGAATAAAGTTATTTTAAATTTGAATTTTCAAGATCTTCGCAAAATGTGAATATTAAATAGGTAATTGTTTGTATCATTTTCTACTTTTACGTTAACTAATTATAGTCGATAAGTGTTGGACTTCAGTTAGTAACATTTTGGTACTCACCGATAGTGAACGCCTTAGCGTCAGCGTTTCCCTCCTGTATGGAGTAGGAGAGTTGGCCGGAAGGCTGCGTGGGGTCGTCAGGGTCTGTGGCCACTACTTGGAACACCACTGTGCCTATGGTTGAATTCTGCGAAAAAAATATTTTATTGTATCTAATTCGAATTGAGTATACCTAAGTACCTATATTCTGATTATTGTTATCTGTTCGGTTTTGATTACAGGCAGTGAATCCTTGGTATATTACATTTACAACATACGGTTGAATCGAAAGTATAGAACATATATATGTGATATATATCCGTGTAATGTTTACGTAGCATAAAGTATAAAAGAAATGAAAATTCAGCAATACACATAAATAATCAGATGTTTCCTCCATACCACTACAGATTTGGCAGGGCAACGAAAATAAACAACATAACAAACGAATAAATATTTTCGGCGGTGCGGGAGGAGGATGGGGGTGATGGACGGTTAGGAAAGGATGCACATATGTTGCATAAATCTTAGATATGCGCGCAAAAAATGAGGGCTTTTATATAAGAGTCCAGGGGAAGGAAGTAAATAGGAGCAGATTCAATTGGGGGTGTGAATGGATTCAATTGGGGGCGTGAATTGGTTCAATTGTAGTGAATGAGTTAAATTGGGGGCGCGAATGGGCACCTCGGGCAGGTGCAGGCGGTCGGCGGGCGTGGGGCGCAGGAAGCGCGGCACGCCGTCGTTGCCGCTCACGTCGGCCACGTACAGCGCCAGCCGCGCAGAGGCCGCGTGCCCGCCCCCGTCCCGCGCCCGCACGCGCACCGCGTACGCCGCCGAGCGGCCGCGCCCGCTCAGCGCGCCCCGCACCGACACCTCCCCCGAGCGCGGGTCCACCGCGAACAGACCTGCCCGTGCGTCGTGGTGAGGTCGGTTCGCCGGTTGCACAGGCCATGCGGACTTATAGAAAACTGACGAAGTGTATTATACTTACGCGTTTCATCTGATGGCTTATGATTGGCAACCTTTTGTTGTAGATGTCAATCATCATTTCAACCTGTTTAAATCCACGCTAAATAGGCCCCCCCAAAGACTGCCACGAAGTACAACATTTGCACAGGTGGTCCGTCCATGGGGTAGTCCTAGATGTCATTCATCACTGGGACTGCTCACTAGACAACTGTTCACTTGAAAAAATGACACTAAAACGGTGTAATAGGTTGAAGGTGTAGAGGTGGTACATCACTTTCCTTGTCTTTTGGAACCAAAATAGAGTCGCAGGTGAAGATGAGTATTCAGTTTACTATCCATCCAGTATACTCCCAGTTTACTATCTCAATTCGGTGGAGGTTCACCGTTGATGCAGCAGCTGTGAGCCCGTGTAAAAAGCGCCCGTATTGCAATCGTCGTTCTCCCTACCCTCTACGAGCAAACGACCACCGGAGGCTTGGTGCTTGTTGGCACTGCCTCTCCACACTTCCATAGCCTCTGAACAATGGATACGGGGTGGTCTGTTGCTCGTTCACAAGATGCCGAGCAGATAGGCGTGCTTTATGTTCCTGGGCGTCTTTATTCCCGAAAGTATTCCCGTAACCGTTACAAGATGTGTAGGCATTTAGACAGAACGGTACGTCACAAACTCACCGGCCGCCTCTCCCTCGTCGAAGAGCTCGTATCGCACCTCCCCGCCCAAGCCCTCGTCCGGATCGGTAGCAGTCACGTTGATCACGCTGTAGCCAATCGGTACGGTCTCCGGGACAACGGCTGTAGTGGAATAATATCTATATAACATTTATCAAAGGCTCTTTGGTTTTAATGTCGTTTTATACTGAATCAACATACATCACTTCTTTTTACCTACAAGTTATATTTACTTAGTATAGACTCGATCTAAGCCATAGGTAATAATAGAGAATGTTACAACTGTTATACTTAGGACTAATCAGTATAGTGTGAATCGATTATTGAGAAAACTACTCAAACGCACAATTAATGGTTTATATTCCATACATATTACTACCAGCTGATGGACCAGGGTGGCATTAAACACAGGTAAATATTGAGAGAAAAGAATGGCATGTATAAAGACTCCAGTGCGTTTTTGACATTGATTGTGTAACAGTGACGGCAGAAGCGGCAGTTGTTTTAGTCTGAAGAGAGACAAAGACAGCACCGGTGTAGAGTTCCTTGTCGAAGGTGGGCGCGTTGTCGTCCACGTCGAGAACGTCGACCAGCACTAGTGCGGAGGCGCGGCGTTGCTCAGCGCCGCCGCCCGGCGTGTCGACCGCCTCCAGCTCCAAGCGCAGCACGGACTGCCGCTCGCGGTCTAGGCTTCGATTTTGGGCTATCTGCGTTTAATAGGAATTTAGTTTCACACGCTGCAATCCCCAAAGGTGTGGTTAGAGAGAAAACAAGTAAATAGCCTCCCTTTAGTTCAGTTTAGACCACAACCTGATAGTTGGCATACTTACGGTAGTTCATCAAATGCAATCCAGAGGCAAACGTTACAGAATAGAGCTGGTACTGTGATCAAACTCAAGGTTTGACTCGTGAGGTCACAGTTCCATCAAAACTAAATAATTTAAATAAAATTCACTTTTAAGAGCCGTGATAGCCGTGAGCAACCCGAGTTGAAATCCGCCAGCATCAATGAAATTGTTAATTTTAAGTGCTGACTTATCACGTGCTCAGCGGTGAAGGAAAACGTCGTGACGAAACCTGCATATTTTCGTAATAATTTCGCCCTAATACACTCTGTATTATTGGGAGTATTTTGCCAAGCAGTGCGCCATACTCATATATAGAGTGTTACGTTCTTTACATTTTTCACTCTTAAAATCCCCAATAATTTTGTTCTGTTGTCTCTACATCAACACCACTGTCTATTCAGTTAGACGAGGGGCAATCACCCGTACGCACCTTCAGAATTATAGTGATCTGTTTAAAAATATTTTTGGGAGTCTTAACAATTTGTGCACTCATGGACAAACGCGCTGATTGGAAGGGAGTGAACGAGACCGAAGTATACGTAATGTATCTTTCTACGCCAATTTCAGCCCTAGTTTTAATAAAAGTCGAATAAGGTAGTCCCTTTTAGGTCGTTTTCTGATATAGTCAAAATAATGATTTTCTTAATTAGGTCCCAATAATTCTAAAGGTAGGTCACCAGACACTATTGGAGTGGCACCTGGATGAGGCCGGAGAGCTCGTCGATGGCGAAGAGCGAAGCGTCCGGGCCGCTCAGACGGTAGCGCAGCAGGTGGTAGCCGCGCCGCTGGTCGCCGTCCGTCAGCGCCGCGTCGCCGTCCGTGGCCGCCACCCGCGCCACCACCGCACCACCGCCGCTCGACTCGGGCACGCTCACCTTGTACAGCTGCGAAACACCACACACCTTACTAGCTTGGTACATCCTACACTCCAATCGTTACTTAAATAACATTGAACCCTGCGGATGAGGCTATACGTCGTTGGTATAGAGGGACATTTTTATGTCCAAAGTTGACAAACGTGCGGACATTTTAAATTTTTATAGTGCTAATCTCTGCACTTAAGATGAAACATTAATGAAAACTGATGAAAAAAGTATTACATTAACACAATATAAATTAAAACTACCAATCAACGATATTCGAAATTGTATGTTGGAAAAGATAAAAAAATGTAGACAAAAGACATTGACATTTTCTTCTCGGTACCCATGGACATTAAGAACACCTGATAGGTTACTAATGCGTTGGCATCGCAATATAAGTGAGCCATGACTCACCAGACGAAACGCAAATCATTATACTTTCACTGTAAGGCCGTGGTACTTCCCGGACTAACCTGCAAGTTGAGTTCGGTTTATCAGAGGCCAAGGACTTAGCCGAGAACGTGCCAACATATTACAGCTCTAAAGGTGACATCACAGCCTCCATTTACGAATAAAACTTGAAACATTATTTTTTTACAGAGGTACCACTGACGAATCTTAAAATTTTTGTGACCACATATCCGTAGCCTGTAATAGTAAATGCCAATTATATGGTTTTCTTACCTCCTTTTCGAATATTGGTGGGTTGTCATTGATGTTGACTACTTCAATGATCACTTTCGCGTCACTGCGCCTGTTGCCGTCATTGCTGATCGCCTGCACGGTCATCGTCAGATTTGGGGTGGTCAGCTCCTCATAATCCAGATGATTGGTCAGAACCACCTGCCCACTCTGAGGGTCTACTTGCAGCAGGCCGGTCTGGGAGTCCAGGACCTGGAAGTTCGAGATCAGGTGGCCGGAGACGGGGTCTTCCGCCATCAGCACCAGAACCGTGCTGCCGATCGGCTGCTCCTCCCTGACCTTGTGGTGTATCACCGGGTTTGTGCTGGTCCAGCCCGGATTGGTGAACTGGGGGTTCTGGTCGTTGTACGGCTGCACGTAGACCGTGTGCTCGGTCTCGTCGAACTGACTATCCTTGTTGGTCTCCGCGTTCACGTCACTCACGCGCACCGTCAATATGACTATCGACGCTTGGCTGTAGTCCAGCGTTGCGTTGACGAACACCTCGCCGGAGTCCTCTTCGATGCGGAAGAGGTGTCTGTAGTCGTACGGGCCGTTGGGTTTCAGCTGTATCCCGGCCTTCGACAGGGCTTTTATCGGTTCGACTATGCTGTATTTGAGCTTCGCCGTGGAGTCCGTGTCGTTGGCGCCGAGCGTGGTGACCAGATCGCCCACCTTGGCCCTCTCCGAGATGTAGGTGGCGGAGGGCGCGGCGGTGAAGCTGGGGGGCTTGTCGTTGACGTCCCGGACGGTGACGAAGACGGTGGTGGTGGCCGTCTCGGGCACGGGCTGGCCGCTGTCCACGGCGGACACGACGATCTCGTAGCGCTCCGGGTTCGAGTCCCGGTCGAGGTTCGCGTCGCTCGACACCGTTATGACGCCCGTTCTGCAAGTTTGGTCGTCTTTCTAAAATACACAATAGTTGTGAAATATGGTTTCAATGGCGAAATAGTGTACCGTTTTTCATATGAGCTTTTCACCGATCTCGTCAGTTCCTACATGTGGTCGGTTGCATGTGTAGTCGTAAAAAAATGACTTTGTCCAGAAAAACAATAATTGGTACCCACACGATACTGGAACGAATAAAATATTTATGTGTCCAGACGTTTCTCTAACCTCGGGTTTCAATTCCCGCAGCGGCGAAAAACTTTTCGTTCATTTTTCTACAAATTTTAATCCTCTAGAATATGTATAGTGAGTGAGATATTTGAAGTCGGTTTTGTTACTCTTAACAAAAATGTTTTAATTTCATTCGTCAAATTAACATCATTTTATAAGATATTGTAGATATTATACTATCAATTGGTAGTATACAAAAGTATTATATTAGCAAAAATTAATAAATTCTCTTATCTTATCAAAGTATTATAAATTTATTACAAGTGATTATGAGAGTGAAAACAGGTAACTAAAAGCTTTCGCAATTATAGTGTTAGAGTCATTTAAAACTTCATAAAGCATTTACAAATCTTAGAAATATCTTCAGAAATATAAACCAGCAGAGATGCTTAAATGGTCGATCACGAGAGGTTTTAGAGTCGATGAATAAATTTTATACGTCACTTTACTTTTAGTTTGTAGAATTTATTTTTAAGTATGTTTTGCTGATCATTTTCGGTAGCTACAAGTGTCGCCCAGTCATGTTTTTGGTACATCATCATAAAAAAATATCCCCGTGCCAGTCAGTACTGTTCGTTTGTGAAAAAGATATTAAATGCAATAAAGGTTTAATCAAATAACTTGGAGTTATAGGTAAATGTCAAAAAGTTATTATTGATTGCCTTGGTACTGCCATGAAGTTTTACTATAATCATTTTCCCCACAAGTGCCAAAAGAAATAAAACTTAAAAAAATAAAGGCGTCACTGTTTTAGACCAAGCACTGTAAGAGGATTGTAAGTTTGTAACGTGAGATATTTGTTTCGAGTTTGTGTTTCTTCAAATGAAATGTATGTTTGTAAAACGTCCTTATAACCCAGGGTAGTGTTATGTAACAATACAAGTCCATATTTTTATTGCGTAAAAACAAAGTTATTTTCCCTTAGTACCGCCGGAGTCCAAGATCCAATACCAATGAAATTAACATAGCACCAGCTTTTAAATAAAAAAAAGACTCATCAAAATCGGTACACTCAATAGAAAGTTCTGAGGTAACAAACATTAAAAGAAATACAGTCGAATTGAGAACCTCCTCTTTTTTTAAGTCGGCTAAAAATTAACAGTTATGAAGTTCCCACACAGATGAACCCACTTCTCGTCTATGATGAAGTTGTCCTTCGAGCCGGAGACGATGTGGTAGGTGAGCAGGGCGTCCAGGCCGTCGGGGTCGTTGGCCACCACGGTAGCCACCTCCAGCCCTGGCGGCGCGTCCTCCCTCACCGAGGCCTGGTAGTTCATGGGCTTCAGGTCCAGGGACAGCTCCTCGGCAGCCGTGGGGTGGTGGCCCACCGTGTAGTGGTAGTGGTGGTAGTTGCCCTTGAAGGTCGGCCGCTGGTTGCCCGGGACGCCCACCCGGATGAAAACTTGGGTGTCGTTGTGCAGCGGCGGAGTGCCTTTGGATTTAATGTAAAATTATAAATTTCAAGTGACACCGTGAAAGTAGAAAATCAAATTATAGTCAAGATTCATCTCGATCGAGCTTGCTTTCAACATTTTAATTTGATATTTTATATGAAAATGTATAATCACATATCCAGGGTGTTTATTTCACCCTGAAAATGTGATGTGTCATGTAACAATTTACATTACAACAATTTACTGGCTGAGTTTCACAGGACATCATCAAATGTTTTAATTTGTGAAATTCTATAGATAAGAAACCGGTTTCTAGCCTGAGCCAAGCGTCTGAGCGCGAAACCGAAAGACATAGGTTCGATTCCCGAAGCGACGACAGTTTTTGCTCATTCATCTTCGAAAATCCACAATTAAATGTTTCGCTTATCGAGCCCGATACACGGAATCTTCCAAATAAAACCTCTTCCCCCCTTTCCAATTTCGCTTTCGGCAAAGCAGCACCTCACCGAAGTCGGTGGCGCGCACGATGAGCTCGTACTGTCCGCGCGGCGTGTCCATGCTGCTGAGCCGCTGCAGGATGGCCAGCTCGCCGGAGTGGGGATCCACGGCGAACATGCCGCCGCGGTGCTCTATGCTGTTGTCCGCCTCCAGCGAGTAGCGCACGCGTCCGCCGCCCTGCGTAGGCCCGTCCGCGTCTGTCGCCTGGACGTTTCATACGCCGTTTATTGTAAGCCGAGCCACACGGGACAGTTATTTGCGTTTTTTTTATGCGAGGAAGTGACAAACGAGATGGCGGTTCACCTGATCTTAAGTGATGACCGCTTGCCCATGGACATTTGCAACACCCGTAGGGTTGCAGGTGTGTTTCCACTTCTTAATAAGGTGGGTCCCGGTCCCGGCTACCTCACTCACCATACGAAACGCAGAAGTTCTACGTCGGTCTTCGTAAAAAAAAAAAGCAAATATCACTAACAATATGATTCACATGTGCTGAACCCACCTAGGTGGAATAAGGGCCAGAGTGTAATAACGAAATGCAGTGATACCACTGACCGACCAAGCACGACTCACCCTGACGACCAGCTGGGGCTCGAAGCTGGTCGCGCCGTCGCGAATGGTGCGGCTGTACTCCGCGGCCTCGAACACCGGTGCGTTGTCGTTCACGTCCAGCACGTCCACGAACACGCTGGTGCTGGAGTGCCTCCCGCCGCCGTCCCTCGCCGTGAGGGTGAGGCTGTAGCTCTTCTGGGCCTCGTAGTCCAGGTCGCCCGCGACGTAGACCCCGCCCGAGTGACGGTCGGTTCTGAACGCGCCGGCGCCGAACCCGCTCAACGAATACTCCAGCTCTCCGTATATGCCGTAATCGCGGTCGGACGCGGTCACCTCCCCCACGAGGGTCCCAAGCGCCGCCCCCTCGGCCACCTCCAGCTTGTAGCCGCTCTCCGCGAACACGGGCGGGTTGTCGTTCACGTCCAGCAGCTTCACATTGACCCTCGCCGAGGAGAGCTCGACGCCGCCGGCGGACGCGACTATGTCGAAGCTGAACAGCCTCAGCTCCTCGTCCACGTCGTAGTCCAGACGCGAGGAGTCGGCTACCTTGACGCCGACGGGGGTCCTGCCCTCGCCGCGGTCGGTGCTGAGCGCGAACACGCCCTCGGAGTTGGAGACGTCGCGCAGCGCCAGCTCGTACCTGGCGTTGGGCCCCGCGTCCAGGTCCTCGACGTAGACGGAGAGGCCGGGCACGGGGCTGCCGCTTTCCACGTTCTCCGGCATGGACACGTCGTACACGGCGCGCTCGAACCGCGGCACGTGGTCGTCCACGTCCGTCACGACGATCGTGACGGACGTCACGGTGTAGTCGGACGGCACCTCGTTGTTTATAAGCTCCGTCGCCTGGATGGAGAAGTCGAGAAAGTCTTTTTGTATACAAAAAGGTAAATGCAAGCGGTTAATCAGACGTTGCGTCATTATCACCATCAATATCCTCAGCAAAATTCTAAGAAGATTAAGCGGCTTCCTCGGAGGTAACGTATTAGTAAATAGTTAGCATTAAGCTTCTGCGTGGTTCTGTCATAATAAATGTAATAAATAATACTCTCTTACATTTACGCGAACACAAAAATTATAAAAAAACCCAAATTAAATTTAATCTATTCTTTCAATATACTGCGGTCATTTTAAATTAAAATGCCTGATTTTTAATGGCGTCAGTAAACAAGTAATTTGCCCATCATTCGTAAGGACGGCAGTGACTCGATTAAAACAATAAATTGGGGATAAAATTCAAAATATGCCAATGTGGAAGGAAGGATATCGTGATTTTGATTTTGGTGTGCGAATCAAATAAATCAAATTAAACGAAGCATAGGCCGCGGTAGAAATTTTTGAGGTACATGTCACATGTGTTTGGTATGGCCACATTGGCAATACCAAAATGCACACTTTTATGAATATTATTTCGTTTAAGTGTATACCTAACACCTTTGAATGAAGTAAACTTTCGTCCGTCCATTACAACCTGCTAGAACTCACTCATCGGTAATATTTATGTTTCACGGCCCACAAATTACTACATATCGTTGAAATAACTTCAGCGCCTTCTACCGGCTTCATTTTTATCACGAGTTCAAACCACCGTAACATCAGATTTTCAACATATTATTACTAACTTCTTAACTTATTACACAAGTTCTTCGTATTTGGCTACTTTATAAGGCGTTACATCGCCACTCAATGCATATCAATTTAACACGTTTAACGCTATATCGGCTTCTTTCTTGTGTATGCTTCATTCATCTTTATCACGAGTTCAAACCACGATTACAGCAGATTTTTTCCAAATTTATCATTTTTTTAATATATATTTTTTATTATACAATATCGTTATCAATAATATTACGTTACCTTGACGTAGAAACTGTACACTCCACCGTTTTGCATGACGGCGTCGCTCTCCCTGTCGATGGGTATGTCGGAGGCGACCAGCGTAGCGCGGCCGATGGGCCTCTCCGGCACCAGCCTGAAGTACTGCTGGCTGTCGCCCTCGAGGGTCAGCAGGACTGGTCGTGGGTTCGCCGTGTCGCCGTCCTTGGCGGCTATCTCCATTATGCTTGTGTTCTACGAATATATTAAAAATGCGTACAACGAAGGTTCTAGCAATTATGATACAATTTAGTTAAAGATTCAGTGAAATAAAGACTGATGGTTGAGATGAGACTTTTTTCGTCGGAATAGATAATTTATTTTATAGAATAGATAATATATTTTTCAAGGTTAATCATCAGCTATTGACAGTGGTCACGCGTTGTGAATTCGATTCCCACAGGAACCATTTTTGATAGATAATTGATCCGGATCTGGCTATTTATCTATGTGAAATTTGTTTTGTTGAAATGCTCTTATAGCACAGTATATTTGGTAGCATAGTAATTTTGTAAAGGAAGCAAAAAAAACGAGGCGTATTATGTAGGAATAGCTGAAACTGAAGATTAACTCTATGTAAAAAGTATGTAACATCGAATTATAATTACTATTACTGAACTTATGTTTGATTTTTTTTAGAATAATATTTAATTGAATGTGTAATTTATAAAGAATAAAAAAAGAATTATGAATAAGTTATATAGGTGTGACCTAATTTATACAAATTTATATATTTTTAAAACCAAATGGTCAAGCTTTAAAATTGTGAATTATTTTGAAGTATTTAAAAAAAGCTTAGTATTTTTTAAAATATCCTGACATATAGCATTTAAAACCCTTATCGGTCGGTTGTCAGATGTTGATTTGAATACACGATGTGATATTTAGGGGGCGTGCGACATGTGGTGGCTTGTGATTTTCGGACTGTGCGAAGTTTGGGGTATCCGCAATTTGGGCGCGTGCGATGTTTTGGGTATGCGCAACTTAGGCGCGTGCGATGTTTTGGGGCCGTGTTATGTTTTGGGCGCGTGCGATGTTTTGGGGGCCTGTGATGTTTTGGGTGCGTGTGCCGTTTTGAGGGCGCGTGTGTTTTTGTGAAGTACAAGGTTCGGCGCAGCTCACCGGCGGGCTGGCCTCGGGCACGGCCGCGGAGTAGGGCGCGCGCAGGAACTCGGGCGGCTGGTCCTGCACGTCGCGCACTGCGGCCGCCAGGCTGGCGAGCGTGCGCCTCTGTGGCCGACCCGCGTCAATCGCCACAAGCCGCACCGCGTACGCCGACCGCGCCTCGAAGTCCAGCGCGCGCGCCACGAACAACCGCGCTTCGTAGGCGTTCGGCCCCACCTGCGTTTACATGCATTCACCGGCGACCATTCGGGCAATGGTCCGCGAAAGTTTCATGTGTCGCTAATAGTATTCGCCAGCCCCAAACATGAGTTGTTTGTGCTTGCGTTCTTTTCAGTCATCTCTAGATTAGTGGTAGGGCCACGCAGCAGCGTCGGCTGTTTCACGAATGGGCAGGCCCGTCCGGGTAAGTACCACGACCTCACAGTTTCGAGTTTCGTCTGGTGAGTGAGGCAGCCGGAGCCCAATTTTCACTCGGGTGTAGCAGATGTTCATGGGCGGCGGTATTCACTTAACATCAGGTGTACCGTCTGCTCGCTTAGCAACTTTTCACATAAAAAAAACATCTTTAACACGGAACATAGTTATTTAAAAAAATATTCTTCTCTTTACAAAGGTGATTTCCGCAAGAAACATGGTTGTTCATTAACAGCGCCGTGAACGTTCCACTGACCATAACAGTCTCGATCCTGAACGTGGAGCAGGCCTCTGCGTCGCTTCCCTTCTCTTCTGTGGAGCAGCTTATCGTCACCTTAGCGTTGTCACCATCGTCGCGATCCGTCACCAATATTCTCGGGGACACCTGCGAACCGGAAGAGTTGACAAGCAAACCTTACAAAAGAGATATTCACACAGCTTGAACTTTTACATGAGGAGATACATTTTTAATAGTTCATTAAACGTCCCTTAATGAAATTATTTTTTGGAATTCATCGCGTTTCTTTTTAATTTTAATTTCCTGATGTTTCGAACCCTTTTCAGCGTTACGGTCACGGGACAGACTAGACTGAGGCGTCTGAATGTCATCGTTAGCCCGGACTACAGCTAGTCTTTAAATTGTTAATTTAGCAAAGGGATGAAACAAAAGAACTGTTACTTCGAAAAGTACCACGGACACGCGGCGTATAAACGGTATGTTAGTATGTTGCAAGAGGCACTAACCTCAATCTCTGCGCCAACTGGCGTGGCCTCGCTGATGTTCACGATGTAAGGACGGTTGTGGAACACCGGTGTGTTGTCGTTCACGTCCTTAACCGGGATCACCCTTCGAAGAGACACGGTGTTGGGTTCCGTGTTGGCGATTCCTTCATCTGGTTAATAAATATATCAGTGACTTCAAGTATCAATCATAAACTACACGCCATCCGTATAAAAGCTGACAGCGATCGTAAAACAACAATAAAAGCAACTACTTAAGGAGTAAGGTTCGATAATTGTGACTAGGGCGAGCTACCATAATCAATTAACATAAAATGTATGGTAATTGAGACGAAAACGCATCTTCTTTTGAACATCAGTACGGGTGAGCTCCTTTAGTGGAAGTAGAACTGATCTTTGAACCATCCCTTTATTTTGGACACTTTCACAAGGTCTATTCGAATATAAAGGTCTAATCGTAGGTGCGAATTACGGCATTGTTTCAATTCCTATATTTTCAAAGCCTTCACAGCGATTATGGTCACGGGACAGGTTACAGTTGTTTTGCCTTCTACTGTCATAGTTAACACAGGAAGCCATAAATTTGTTGGTCTCGCAGTGTTAGTATTTTGGAATTAGTTTTATAAACTGAGGAACTGTTACTCTTGCAAGGTTATCGACTCTTATATGGTTTATCGACTCTTATATGTTACTGCTATGCCCTAGACCCTTATCTATTATTACCTGTTATACTGATGATGACCTCCAGGTTTGCCTGTTCCTCACGGTCCAAGGTTTTCGCCAGCGTCACGACTCCGGTCAATGGATCCACGCTGAAGTACTGACCAGATATCGAATACCTCAGCTGACTATTTTCTGGATCAATGCCTGCGAGGAATATTATTTCTTGGTTGTAAACCACAGTTGAACAGATTAGAAAGAAAGAAATATTCAATAAAATGTATTCTATGTTTTGTTGTAATATGGTTAAGAAATTAAAACAATTTTATTTTTATTTATAAATTGATTTAGTTACTAGTAAGATTCACAATCGATACGCATTGCACTTAGTTATGGGACCTGAGTAAAAGTTGGGAAGCGAGGAGACAATTCATCTCATGTTAAGTGATTATTGCTACCCATAAACATATATAACATGTGACTGGTTGTAGAAGTGGTGCCGTTTAAACGTGGGCCCAAGTCGCCTCGCTTACCTGATGAAAAACGAAAGTATAAAACTATCACTTCACGCCGGCAATCTGCGAGGCCGTGGCACTTACTCGGACCTGCTTGTGTGATGGTGTTCGGTCTACCGCGTACCTTTCAGGTGATATACCGGCGTGCCGACGGGCGTGTCTTCGGGCAGCGTGAATTGGGACATGTCGCCGGTCTGCGGAACGAAATGCGGCGCCCTGTTGGTCACCTGCGAGCGGCATACTTGCAGCAGACAGGTAAGCAGAATGACTATCAGGGCGCTGGAGTCGCCGAGGACCGTCGCCGCCCTCCGCCTTTGGGTTACGACTTCCGCCATCTGATAATTAAAAGTTAAAGTGTAAAGCAACAAACTCTACATGTCCCTCTACTGGGGCAAAGGTTAGGTTAGGTTATAGATGGTATTAGAGTTTAAACTACCCCGCGACCCCACTGCGGATTGCCAATATTTAATACCATAAATAATTCAATGTTAAATCAAAAACATTGTTTTTGATTTAACATTGAATTATTTATGGTATTAAATATTTCGTTAAAAGAACGTACTAGTTAAAAAGGTATAGAATATTAAAAAGGTATACCGAGTTCATACTGCCACAGTATTCCGAAAAGGAACCTTTTCACATTAATTTCCCGTTAGAATGGATTAAAAATAAGCCACGGCTCATGAGTATCCTCTGGTTAAAATTGCAGGATTTAAATTAAAAATTGTTATTTTACGTTGTTCACGCAACGATTGGGACGTTATATCTACTAATGTCCGATGTAGTACGCGATTTTGAACTTAAGGATAATTAATTTTCCTTAAGAATTGCTACGTGTCTCTACATCTTCAAATTTTTTTTGGAACATATGCAGGTTTCCTCACGTTGTTTTATCTGCACTTAATATCAACAATTTCATTGGAGCCGGTACCGGGATTTGAACTTGCTCGAAAATAGTGAATTAATAGCGAGCGTCTGGGCACGTAGTCACCAGGCAATTTCTAAAAATCCAACCTCGTGTAACCCCAGAGCTGTGCGTGGTCAATTAGCGCGGTTACACAACCCGTTACTAATGTAGCGCGAGACAATCGCCCGTTTCCATTGCGACAGAATCTCGTGAACGGACCGTGGGGTCTCTTGACCTCAACACTATAAAATTTGGCCGGTGTATAGTAATCTGACGGCGGCACACGTGGCATTCTCGCCTCTGGTTCATTCCTCGCGTATTTGACATATTTAGCAAATAATCGGCACACAGCTTTTGTTATTTAAGATGCGTTCATGGTCACGGGACTGAGGCGTTGGAGTCAGAGTGTCATTATTAGACCAGGCTACCACCAGTTTTTAGGGTTATTAATTTATGTGCCGGTCTACGCAGAACATGGTAATTTCATCTTGTCATGTAGAAGTGGTTCGTTTGGGCCTAGATTTAATTTTATTAATAATAAGATCCCAAGCTGATGGTAGCATCCAACCATCATCTATATTGAAATTATTGGTGTTTTTTAATTCCAATGGTCTCGCGAATTATCCCTGGGAGGAATCGGTGTTCTGTGGTCTGTGGAGTATCTGTGGTCTATAAAACCTGATATAATGGTTAGGGTGATTTATAGTCTGCTCACATACTGCAGACTAGTAACTAGCTAGGTTAGTTTTAGTAATGTGTAATTAAATACAAGAAATTACTATACATATTATGTATTAAGTAATAATATAATACCAAGCGAACAAAACCACATGACAGAAAATGCGAATGGACATTTGCGGTATCACCTCATGATTATCTCATCTTTCCGAGTTATTACAACGGTATATTAGCATACTAAAGCTACTGAGCGTCGTTTAAGTGTGGATCCCACGTGTCGACACAGCGTAGTTTTAGTTGACATTTCTAGGTCAACGAATAGGTCTACGTCCACCCGCTTTAGGTATCGATCGAGTGATGTAGGGAACTGTTATACCCTTGCCATGTTATGGATGTGGCTTACTGCCACGCCTTGCTTATCTGGATCACTACGTCGGCGATTTAGAAGATCTTCTACTTTGCCCCAGTAGTCAGTTGCTCCTCAATCTCGACACGAGTTGGACGTCTAGATTCTAATGATGCGTCCTTGATCACGCATTTTATATTACAATTAAATTTATTTATATAAAATTGTTTTTGTTTAAAAATAAATAACTCCGCGAATCCGTATAATAGAACGCCAACTTTAAACCTCCAATTGAATCCGAATTTGTAAATCAATTCCTCTTCCAGGACCAGCATTCCTATTTCCATATACATATCATGCATAAATTATTTTTAACTTGTACTCTTTTATTGTTAACGGACCAAGCTTGTTAAGCCAGACAGATGACAGAAAGTTGTCACCTTGCAATATATGCAACAGTAAGCCAAAAACAAATGCAACAGAAAGCCACGTTATATTTTCTAATTAAAAGAATTTCACGTCTTGCCACTACATTTGTATGTATCAATAATTTGATACCTAAAAAAAACTAACGTTGGAAATAAGGGCGGTACTTAGTGGCGTGAATTGCATCATAATGTAGTAGTCCGCAGCCTCACGGCTTAGTTTCAATATTAGTAAATTACATAATAGGGTTGCCACAATTTTTTTTTTATAATTTAATAATATACGTTCACACGTTAAACACCTATTTTATAGATATAAACTAGCGGACCAAACAGACGTTGTCCTGTACACGCGATTTAAAACCGACAACTAGGAAATAAAAAAAAAAACCAACGAATTGTGAATCTAAACCGTTCTCGAATCGTTCTAAAGACACACAAAATATTTCACTAAAATCGGTCCAGCCGTTTAGGAGGAGTTCAGTGACATGCACACGTTCAAATGAATTATATATACAAAGATCATCAAAGATCATCAGTTTTATTGTGCCTCAAGATAGCAAGCCTAGCGTATAGCGGAAGGTGCATGTTTTGTTCGATGAGTGAGATAAGCGGCACAGGTTCTTAACGATTGGCGACGTACTTGTATTGTAGATGGTCATCGGGAAGTACTTAATATCAAGTAAACCGAATGCGTCTTTTGCATAAACAAAAATGTAATTTGTTGCAACCTTAAATAAACTATAGAATACAGAACTATATAACGCTATGAAGGTATTTTCAGTGAGTGAGTTTATTATAACAGTATGTTATTTCAGACATTAGTTAATTTTCAACGGTACAGGCCCAAGTAATACGTACCTCCTTGAGAGTACTATTTAAAGAAACAGTTATCAACAAATACTGATAACGTTATATATACAAAATTTCGCTGTCTTTGATTTCTGCTCTTATTTCAATATTGAATGTCGATTTTTTAACCGACTTCAAAAAAGAAGGAGGTTTCTCTATTCGACCGTATATTTTTATATATATATATATATATATATATATATATATATATATATATTTTTTATGTGTGTTAGAGGATAGCTTCGTCGTTTATGAACCGATTTTGATGATTCTTTTTTTTTTTTTTAGAAAATAGATATCCCAAGGATAGTACCTACCATGATAAGGAAACGGATCTGATGATGGCATCCCAGAGGAATCGAGGGCAATTTTTAGTTTCCTAATTTTCCTTGCTTTAAAGTTAAATGCAGTAGCCATTGTGTTTTAATTGATGCTACTTCGACTATTAACTCAATGGAAACATATTATATTCTAAACAGAATCCACAGAAACCTCAAACATGAAAAATGGCTATGGTTAAATTAAGAATATTTTTTTACCATTATTTAGATAATATACATTTACACAACTAAGGTACAAGTAAATAACCATGATGTAATTTTTGAATAAATTAAAGATTTTTATTTTCAAATAAGTGCCAACCCTAAGCAGACGACCTTAATAGAACGTAGCAGACTGTAATCCGATTTCCGTCTTTGGTGTGTATATTTCGCCAAACAATCTAAATTCAAAGCGTCAGGTTTCTTTGTGTTGCGTTTAACTGACCCACGTGGACTCTTATGCTGACCGATATTTCAGCCAAGTCAGACAAAATAAAAGATCAGGCATCGATTTTTGACTCCTTAAACGATTTACAAGTCTTCTATCTAGCTTAATGATCTTCGCTTGTTATTTTTTGTGGTGATCTAGACAATTCCTGACTATAATTCTACCCACATAGCTAGTGAAACTACATTCGTAGATTATAAATACACCAACTCATTACGCGCTAAATCACACGTATAAAATGATGTCACGTATTCGAATGTTTTCGCTGTACCATCATTTTATTCCACCTTCTTGTTTCTACTTCCGTATATAATGTTTATTAATTTTGCTTCTTACGACGACTGGAGATTCCGCACAGACAGAAGACAGCTTTAACGTTGAGCGTACCAAGTTAAACTTCGGAATAATGCATGATTGCTACCTACAATAATATTACAATTGCAACATTTTCACTTCATGGCGATCTTCCTTGTGGTCGTGGTAATTCCCCAAATGGACCTGCTCATTTGTGCAACAGAAATGACTACTTAGTTGATTGAGTTTTAACTACGGTCCTAACGCAGTTAAAACTCAAACTCTATATATACTTCTGCATTCAGGACAATGAATGAATTCAGGACATTCAGGTTATTAAGTGAATCATAGTGTATGCCTTACTCGGGCCATCTGACAACTTCTACCTAAGATAATGTGACATATTTTTCGACATTTATACTTAGAAATGGACCTGATGCTATAGGGTATCTAACCATACTAAGCACGCTTAGAATATATAGTAAGAACTAGGTAATAAAACGAAAGTAGGTATTAAGAATATACGATTTGTTAAATGGATTATTGGAGCACGTTTATTGTATTATGCTTAATGTAGGTAGCTAATCAAAGAAATATTTGAAAAGGCGGGTAAAATTAAGGCATTTTTGAAAACTCATTTCAGGGCTCCTGTTCCAAGCTGTCTCATTGACGACCATCGATGGTGGGACTCGAGGTTTGGAAGTCGCTTTGAGAAGGTTTGAAATGACAAGCCAACTTTTTCTGACACTTTCAAGCACATTTAAATAACATAGTTTTAGATTCTCCAATTTATACATAATATACCTGTTTTTTCAGTTTTGCAGTAAATCATTATTAGCTTTAATTTTTTTTCTTATTAAAATGTGAATTTTTGTTGTTAGAATATCGGTGCCTGACTGAGCATGCATCTTCTGGTTTCCACTATCACACTACAGCGTATATAGAGCAAACATTATCCTTTTAGGACCAAGAATCCCAAGAATAAACTTCCGGGTTAAAGAAAAAATATTTGTATACAAATATATTTATTTGGACATAGAAAAGATTCATTAGATGAAATCTGAA